TGGCTTTGAACTGTGATTCTCAGATCTCAGCCTCCTAAGTAGCTAGTATTACAGGTGTGAGCCACTGGCACACAGCGAAGCGTGCATTTTTTTTTGGACAATGTCACCCCTCCCTTGTTCTCTCCCAGTTTTTCCCTTCCAACTACACCCACAAGTTGTGTAGTTCATTTTCAACATGTCCAGTGAGCACCACTGCTGCATTTGTTCACCCTTTGCCCCTCCATTCCTGTGCCTCCTCTCACACTCTCAAAGATATAAACAAGAAAAAAAAACAGCAACAAAGAAAACAAACCTCTTATTTCCATTTCCTGGGGCTCATTTGATAAATATTATTTTTCATAATCAGATGCACATAAGCATTCCGCTTTTCTGTTCCTCTCCTAAAAGTACCCTTCTTTGGCCTCACTGTGTGTAAATGCCTAGAGACCTGCATAATTTATTATGTCCTGGTGTATTTTAGATCTAGTTTCTGTATATGAGAGAAAACATGTGCAGTTTCTCTCTCTGAGCTTAGCTTACCTCACTTAACATGATTTGTTGTAGGTCCATCCATTTCCCTGCATATGACATAATATTATTCTTTCTAATGGCTGGGTAAAATTCTGTTGTGTGTAAGTGCCACATTTTTTGGATCTGCTCATCTATTAAAGGGCATCTGGGCTGTTTCCACAACTTGGCTATTGTGAATGGTGCCACAATGAATATGGATGTGCAGGTGTCTTTATGGTATCTGGCTTGTGATATTCTGGCCTGGGTCGTAGGAAGATCTATGTTTAGTTTAGTTTTTAGTTTTTTCGTTTTGTTTTGTTTTTGTTTTTGCCAGTCCTGGGGCACTGTGCTTGAGCTGCTTTTGCTCAAGGCTAACACTCTACCAATTGAGCCAAGCACCACTTCTGGCTTTTTCTGTGTTGGTTCTGAGGAATGGAACCCAGGGCTTCATGTATGCTAGGCAAACACTCTACCACTAAGCCACATTCCAGCCACGTTTAGTTTTTTTGAGGAACCTCCACACTGCTGTCCAGAGTGGTTGTACTAGTTTTCATTCCCACCAACAGTACAGTGGGATTCCTTCCCCCAGTCCCCACATCCCCGCTAACATTTGTTGTTTGAATTCATGATGTTGGCCAATATACCTGGGGTGAGATAGAATCTCAGAGTTGTTTTGATTTGCATTTCCTTTATGGGCAGGGATGGTGAGCATTTCCTCATGGGTTTCTTTGGTATTCTAACTTCTTCTTCTAAGAAGACTCTCCCTAAGTCTTTGTCCATTTACTAGCTTTGTGGGATTTTTTTTGGGAAATAGTCTTGCTTCCTGCCTGTCCAGTTATTTTTAGGCTTCCTGTTGTAGCTATGATGACAGGCACATGCCACTGCATGCCGCTATCAGATAAGTCTTGAAAACTTTCTGGTGCAGGCTGGTTTTAAACGGTGATCCTCTCCATCTCAACCTCTTCAATAGCTTAGGGTTACAGGCATGAGCCAGTGGCACCTGGCTGCTGTGACATATTGGAAGCACTTTGCTAATGTTGAGATGAGAATCAGATCTCAGCTCCTCCTTGTGTACCCCAGGGTTGACCAAGTATCCTTAGCTCTGAATATACACCTAAGTGTCAACTGATCCTTAGTTTGAAGCCATCCCAGCCATCTCCCCAACACACCTGGATTCCCCATTTGGCACATGCTTTAATGCCCCTCCTCCACTCTCTCCAATGGGGGGCAGATGCCACCCTACTGGCCACTCACTTGGACCTAAAATGTCTTGATTTCTTGTCAATGATTCAAGTGTTCTGATGCCTGGGCAAAGATAAGGGTGTGAAGGGGGTGGCAGCATGTGGCCTGTTAATCTTGCTGAGATGAGAACAACCCCAAACTCCTTTCCCATTGGGTGTGAAGGGGGCAGTTAGTGTCTCCTTGAAAGGTCATTCATAGGAACCTCTGACTGAAAGGAAAAAGGCCTTTGCTGTGGGTTGGTGGCCATGTGCCTTATCCCCCAGCAAAGTTGGAGAAGATAAACCACTCAGAGACCAGGAGAGGAGGCTCCCCAGCATATCCACATTAGGCCTACATTAGGACAATTTTCTTTCAGCATTGCCACCTTATGCCCTGCCATCTAAGTTCCCTAGGAGTTAGAGGGAACAGTGTGTATGTGTGGAAGGGAGGCAGGAGGCAAGAGGACCCCCGCCCCCAAGAGTAGGGGTGATGCTACTCTTTTATGTTCCTGTGTTCTACTCTTCCTCCCATGCAGTGACAGCCAGGAATGGCCTTGGCTGCAATCCTCTGCTCAGCAGTGAGGGGGAGGAGCTGTGCATGCCCCCACTTGCATCTGCTTCCACCAAGGTCTGGCTTGGTGCACAGCTCTGCTGATCTCAGACGACCTCTACCCCCTCCCTGGGTCTTTTCCTGTCTCTCCCTGGAGGTCTTCAATGTTTTCCTATCCCTGCAAAGACACGACAGTTATTTACAAGTGTAAAAGAGGTAGTCAATGAGACACAACCCCCAGCACCATTCTGCCCAGGCGAGGGACCTGTCACAAGGCCCAGACAATTTCTCTATGCTGTCTCTATTTTGTATTTCAACTTCTAGCCAGCTACAGGCTATTTGTTTAATTTTAACTTCTGTCTGAATCTGGAATAGAGAAGGGGGTCAAAAAGGTGCTTCTAGATGTTTCCCCTGTGATAGGGGTATATCCTTCCCTCCCAGATCCACCTACTGTCTGTCTCCAGCTATCCCCGAGGGGACATCTTCCCTCCACAAAGCTTCCTTGTATACTTGTGAAGTCCCTTCTATAGTCCAACCTCCAGCTCTCTTGCTATCTTGTTAAATCCACTCTTTTCAGGGACATGGGTGGCAGCAGAGCTTGGCTTCTAGCTTCCCTAAAAGCCACTCTTACGAAGCTCTTCTTAGAGCAGCCACCACCTCACATATTCAGAGGTAGAACCCAGACAGCGCATTGATAAAGCTGTTTGCTTCAGCTTTCAGCCCCTTCCAGCAGCTCCTCCATACTCAGCCAGCACTTCCTAAGCATATGAGATACAGCACTGGAGATTGGGGATTAACCCATGTCTGTGTTTTGTCCTAATGTGCATGTACAGGTATGCCTGTGTACTGTGGTGTGTGTGTGTGTGTGTGTGTGTGTGTGTGTGTGTATGCTTGAGTGTGAGGTCCGAGGCTTGCTTTTGATGGAATCTTCCCATTCCCTTTTTCCTGAACACCTGGAGGAGACTAGCAACAACAGCAGTGAGGATGGGGTTAGAACCACCTCTCTATGCAGCTCCCTGGCAGCTGCAGTTCTGCTGAGCACCGTTAGGGGTCAGTGTTGCTTCAGACAGCAATTCAGTGCGGAGCCAGGGCAGAGAAGGGGTGTGGCTCTGCACAGGTTGTCCTTGTTGCCCACTCTGACCTTTTCAGGGTAACCAGCTTAGTGCTGTGGTAGAGATGGAGCCCTGGAGGGCCTTCCTGATGGTGTTTTGGCTTGCAAGAAAGCTTCTGGAGTAAGGATGTTCAGTATATGTGACAGTGTGGCAGCATGGCTGCCATGGTCCTAAGGACTTAGATACACGAAGTTCGGGGTACAGCTCTGTGGTACAGTATGTGCTTGGCATGTGAGAAGCCCTGGGTTCCATTCCCCCCCACCATTAAAATCCCTGAGTTGCCGCCACCCCTTTACCAAGGTTTAATACCATTATTCTGCTTCTGTCCCACTTCAAATGCTCTAGAGCTGACACAAAGCCAGGATACTGACTTCCTGTACAACTACAACACCTCTCAACAGCATTATCTGCTCATAGGACAGAAGCTGAGATTCTGGCTTCCCCAAATAATCACAGGGAACCAGACACAACCCTGCTTTAGCATGTGTCCTCTGCTTTGGTTGAGGGACATTTAACTGAGATAGGTGATATCACCAGGATCCCTCACAACCCCATGTTCTGTCCACTTAAAATCTGTACTGTGACTTTGGGGGAGGAAATGCTTGCCCAGTGGCCAGATATAGCAAAGACAAAATAAAGATGAGGTAAGAGGGACTGGCTGGTTCTGTTAAGAGGCCAGAAACTAAGGTTCCCTGAGGGGCTCCACCACTTCTGGCTCTGAGCAGGAGATAATAGCAACATTTCACTACCATGGCAACCCTGGGCTGCTAGGGTCCTCATGGAGGTGGTGTTTGACAGCAGTGTATTTAGCCTTAGGGTCACCACCTCAAATCCCAAAGGAGGAAGAGAGGAAGTTCATCCAGTGTCAATGCCATATAGATGGAGAGATAATGGGCTGCCAGGGACCAGGGTACAAACAGACTTCCATATTTATTGTATCTTCTCCAGTCTTCCCGTGAGAGTTAGGGTAGTGAGGGATGGGGTCAGTGAGGGGAGGAAGGAAGACAAGGCTCTTAAGGACTTAATGATCCAAGGCTAATCTTCAGGGGAAGATTGGAACAAGGGGAGGGGAGAATATGTACCAAGGGATGCCCCCAGGGAAGAGGAAGGAAGAGCACCAAGCTCGGGGGTCCCTGGGTGGGGGAAGGAAAGAGGAAGAAGTGAGGGAGGGCCACCAGGCCCAGGCTAGAACTTGCTTGCCCAGGGCCTTGGCTTTTCCTTACAGCCTCTGAAGTGTGGCAGAGTGGAAAGCTGGTGCAGTGGACAATCCACATTTGAGTGGAGAGGGCTCCAGGCCTGTCTCTGATTGCTCATCTAGTTTCCAATATATGGCAGCTATAGATGTCTCCAGGAGATCCAAAGCTTCAGTGACGGTGTGCCTCCTGATCCTGCCTCCAGGGTGCACAGCCTTCTCTTACTCTGAGCAGGTCTGTCACTCTGAAGGCAGGATACGACTGCCTAGTCTAAGGATGCCACTGATGTGGCCCTGAGTACAGCCTTTTCATGAGCTCAGACTTCTGAGGAACTTCCTCGTATGAATCTGCTCAGATGCCCCCTCCCCTTTCTAGCCCCTACTCTCTGTCCCACTCTTGGCCACTCCTGCCCTGTTTGAATGGGACAAGCCTGGACATCTCATGGTCATAAAGGTCAGGGTCTATTTGCCCATGAGAAGCCAATAGGCTGGGGTGGGGGAATCTTCAGTGTCCTGGACCCCCATTTTGAGGGCTGCAGTCTGGAGCATCTTTTGGAGCGGTGGGGGAATTGGGCTCTGCATCAGTAGACAACAGGGAGGCGTGGCCCCGCTTGCACTCTGAGCTGTGATAGAAGGAAAGGAGGCGGAAGGAGGGCTGCAGCTCTTCTTGTATGCTGTCTAGGATGTGGATGAAGGTAGGCCGTAGGCGTGGGCTCTGCTGCCAGCAGCGACACATCAGCTCCTGCCTGGTGGGTGTGCAGGGCAGTGTCAGAGGGTCCTGAAGCCCCAGTCTTCAGACCCTGTCTCCTGCTCTGGAAGGGTCCGTGTGTGTGTGTGTGTGTGTGTGTGTGTGTGTGTGTGATGTATGATGGGGCATTATGCCTGGGAGGGTCAGAGTGGAATAAATGGGGAGTATAGTGGTGATTTAGATTTAGGGGTCTATAGCGGGAGGTGAATGAGGTTGAAACATCAGAGGAGGTAGGCCAGAATCTAAGGGGTATGCTTGAGCAAGACAAGGGTGAAGGAGAGGCATCAAAGATGACTCACAGCTGAAGGGGGCAGCTCTCTAGCTCCTCCAGGACACCGCCATCCATGACGAACTTGAGCACCTGCTCATTGGACAAGCCCTGGTAGGGTTGTTCAGCCAAGGTCACGATCTCCCAGAGTACCACACCAAAGGACCTAGGGGATGCATGGGACAGCTAGGCTTCAGTGTACTGCCCTCACCCTCCATCCGAGGGAGGGAAGTGTCTTAGGTCCCTCCTTAGATGTCACCTTCAATCCCTGGAGCCCTCTGCTGCAATCAGGCCTCACCAGACATCCGAGTGTGTGGTGAAGATTCCATCTTTGAGAGACTCGGGGGCCATCCAACGCACAGGCAGCAGCCCTTTCCCACCCTTGCGGTAATAGTCTGTCTCATACACATCCCGGGTCATCCCAAAGTCTAGAAAGTGAGGAAGGAAGAGGAAGAGCAGTCACACACCACTTCCTGCCCCACAGGAATGTCTCTCCCAACCTTCTCTATCTCCAGAGTCACCAAGCATCCGGGAATGTGAGAATTCAAAGGGCTTCGGAGGTCATCCTAGCTAAAGCCCTCTGATCTTGGACAGGGAGACTAAAATGTAAGAGGGGAGGTGAACTTGGCAAAGTTCTCACAGGCTATCAGGGACAGATCTGCAGGCGAGGCTCAGATCTCCTATGTCAAGCTTAGGGGAGGCTCTCTACTCTTCAGGCTTCCCTCTATACCCCCAATTTTGACGGTGAAGTCCTGGGACACCATGCAGTTGCGGGCTGCCAGGTCTCGGTGCACAAACTTGTTGGCAGCAAGGTAGGCCATACCATCTGCAATCTCACCAGCCATCTGCATCATATCTCCCAGGACCGGCTGTGGGAGCCCAGGGTTGTTCTGAAGCCAAGAGAGGAGACTGGTGAAGAAGGAGCCTAAAGGTTGTGCTGGCACAAGGACTGATTCCCTTCCTCAATGTCTCCAAGTCTTCTCCAACTCCCCTGCTTCTTGGCCCATGATTTCCCTGCTTCCCACCTCTGCCTCAGGCCTCAAAGATCGGAGATAGCTCTTGAGGTCTCCACGGGTCATTAGCTCCATGATGACCAGAGTTGGCTGTCCCTGAGACACCACACCCAGGAGACGTACCTAGGGTGGACAGAGATTTTGGTTGTAGTTCTACCCACTTCCCCTTGACCTACCTGGCTAAAACCTTGACTTCCTGTCACCATTACATGACCCAGAGTCACCTTGACCCTTTCTGTAGCCCTGACTGTAATCCTAATCCTGACCTAATCATGAACCTGACCCTAATTTATAACCTTGATCATAGATACTGCTATTACAGTAGTGAACTTGACCCAACTCTGACCTTAATTCCAATCATGATCCTGAACACTCAATATTGATCCTCAACCATGACTGATCTCAGCTCATCACGACCCTGTTTAACAACTCTCACACTAATGTGACCTCTGCCCCAGTTAAGATCCTAACTACAGTTCCAACGCTGACCTTGATGATACTCTGATCTCTTACCCTTTCCTTCTTACCATGTGACCTTTAACCCTAAATATGACCCTGACAATGCCCTTGACCTCCCTTACCACATGGTGACACTTGAATGCTTTCATGACGGAAGCTTCCTTGAGAAACTCAATGCGTTCCTGCGCGCTAGCCAGCTCATTCACCGTCTTCAGGGCCACAGGTGTGGCTTCCTCTGCAGCCTCCAGTCCTCGTGCCAGTCCCTCATAGACCATCCCAAAAGAGCCTTGGCCCAGCTCTCGGATTATGGAGATCTGCTCTCGAGGCACTTCCCACTCATCAGGGACATACACTTAGAGAGGGTGGGGGTCGAGAGGCAAGGATGGCACTCTTTCTCAAGCCTCTATCCTCTTCTTGCCTCCTCTTCTGAAGCACTCTGGCCCCAAGACCCCCTTCTCCAAGAAGGTCTGTTGGAAGTCTGCCCCTTCTCTGCTCTTGGCTCCCTTCCCGTACCACCTGTCCACCCACCTCCAGACCTACTCTCAGAGGCACTGAAGTACTCCGGATTCACAGAGGTATACAGGGTGCCATTTCTGCAATGGAAGACAAGGGGTCAGACTGGAAAGGTCCTCCGGAAGGAGTGGACAATGCCAAAGGATAATAAAGAGGGTTGTCTCAAGAGGGGCTACCAACTAACCCCAGCTCTGGTCAGGGGGACTCCTGAGGAGCCTTAAAAACTTTTCAAGCTGTTCTTGGTTTTAGTCCTTGGATCTGGCAGATTGCAAATAGGCAGATACAGAAGTACAAGTGGCAACCAGGCCACAAGCAGTCTCCCTCCCCTCTCCCTCCCCCCTTCACACTCATGCTAAATTGGTCCTACTCCTGCCCCTTAGGTTAATCACTAGATCCCAGTGAACCAAGGTTCTTTCTCTCCCCCTCAGATTCAGCTGCAGAGGGATTTCAACGATTTTTTTTTTTTTTGGGTCCAGTCTTGGGGCCTGAACTCTGGGCCTGGGCGCTGTCCCTCAGCTCTTCGGCTCAAGGCTAGCGCTTTACCACTTGAGCCACAGCACCACTTGCGGCTTTTTTCTTTTTGCTTATGTGGTGCTGAGGAATCGAACCCAGGGCCTCAGGCATGCAAGGCAAGCGCTCTACCACTGAGCCACCTTCCCAGCCTATGCAGGGGGATTTCATACCAAGTGTCTTGGCATACATTTGGAAGTCTCCACTGCCTCTCCCCTTGCTTTGACAGGACCAGTTTCACTCTGTCAGGATGAGCTCAGAGTATGGAGACCAACAAATCAGACTGAGGGGTTTCTCAAGACGTGGGAACCAAGGAAAACCCCAGTCAAAGCAGGCTAGTTGACATGCTTGCTAAGAGATCTCTGCCTCTAAAAAAGTCCTTTCTGTTGTCTGACCTACTTCTTACTGCACTGACCCTAGGATGAGGTCTCAGGGACAGAGCAGCGGTGGGAACCAGGAACTTATCATCACCTCTTCTTGCCATAGAAGAAACCAAGGGCAGCAAGAATGATGAGCAGCATGAGTCCCACGGGGGTGACAGTGAGCAGAACATGCAGACCCCCAGAATCTTCCTCCTCTGGTGGCCAGAGAGAAGCAGAGGGTAGGGTCAAAGATGGAAAAGGCAGAGAGTAGGGACTGCTTCTTTTCAAACACTGGGAGATGAGAATGGTGCAGGACTGGGGTGAAGGAGCCTATGGAAGGCTGGGGAATTGGGTGGGGCCATTCCAACTTGCAAGTCTATACCTGGGCCAGGGATGTAGAAGGCGATGCTCTCTGTCCAGGAGCCATTGCCAGCCAGTGAGGTGGCCCGAACTCGAGCAGAGTAGTTTCCCGGGGGCAGCAGAGCCAGTTGGACCCCGCCAACTTTGGCATATCGAAGTCGGGACACACACAGTACTGTGGCCTCCTGACGGTAGCACAGAACAATTGACTGGGATGAGGATGGAGGCACAAAATGAGGGCTGGGATAGGCGTCCGGGGGTACTTACCTCTCCCAGGCGGCGGTACTTGATTTCGTACTTGAGGATGAGTCCATTGGGGTCCCGAGGCTCAATCCATCGCAAGAGGACACTGTTCTTGCTGGCAGCTTTCCAGGCTACCTTCCCTGGTATATCATCGGCCTCTCCTGCAGAAGGGGACATCCAGCAACCAGGCTCTCTCTCTCTCTCTCTTTCTCTCAACTGCGAAGTTTCTAAGGCTGTGGGATTATGGGAACTGGCAGGTGTGCTTTGATTGGGCCAAGGGCTTTGAGTCAGTGGTGGGGATAGAAAGCGTGTCTGAGACACTCACTGAGGGGCATCGTGCGTGCAAAGACGAAGGTGGCCGCGCTGCAGCCCACGGTGTGCGCCGCGTGGTTGCAGGCGTGGATGTCGATCCGATACTCCGTGAAGTGGCGCAAGTCACTCAGCACCGCTCGCTCCCTGGGAACTTTGTCCTCTTGGATTTCGAAGTCCGAGCTGTTGCTCCCTAGTCTGAGGGGCTCAGAGGCCCGGCGGTACCGCGCTGAGTCCCTATGTAAGGCATAAGTCAGAGCCATGGGTCTGGAGCCATCCCGGGTCTCCGCCCCTCAGTGCCTGGTCCCATCAGGGCTCACCTTTGGGGGTTTTTGTTGATGGATGTCACCTTCCATGGGGATCTGGGGAGGCCAGGGGGGGTCCCTATCAGGCCTGACTAGAAAAGCACCTGGTGCTCTGCACAGCGCGTCCTAAGTCCAAACCCATCCCAGCAAGGCCCCGCCCACCAACAAGGCCCCGCCCATAGGACAAGGCCTCGCCCACAAGCAAGGTCACGCCCACAGGCAAAGGCCACGCCCAGAAAGCCACCTTCCGGCACCGGTCCCTCCCAGGCCCCGCCCACTCCCTCGGGCACGCCAGGTCGCACTTGGGAATGGTGATGGCATTGTGTAGAAAGTTTTCGAACTTCTTCTGGAATGAGGCCTCTTGCGCCTCCAGCTGGGGCAGGACCTGCCTAGGAGGCGAGTGTTGACAAGGGCAGCAGCCAGGCTCAGTCTCTTCTTCCAGTACTCCATCTTCGCGATCGAAGCGAGGGTCGTGGTTGCTGGTGGGCAGACGCAAACCTGGACGAAAGCAGAGACGTGTTCTACCTCCCTCCCCTCGCCCCGACTCCCCCGACTCTGGCCTGGCATCACCAGTCTCTCCGGTCTGGGGTTCCCTCCCGCGCACCACGGTGGCAGTAGTCATTGAGGTAGAGGTCACCATCCTCAGCCAGCCGCTGCCACAGCACCAGGTAGTAGGTGAGGTTTCCGTTGCGCTGGTTCGGTGGCTTCCAGCGCACCAGGAGATGGGAGGAAGAGTTGGACGTGGAGATGACTTCTTGGGGCACGGTGGGGGCTGTGGGTGTGAGCAGGGTACAACTCAGGGGCTTCATAAACACGATTTGATAAGAAGCCCCTCTCTATGTGGGTCAACCCTCCCCACCCCCTTCTGAGGAATAGGTGACCTTCAACCTTCCCTCCTTAGAACTCAGTATTATGTCCTTACCCTCACCCACCCTAGGCCAATGCATACCTCCTACCCCATTCTCTCTAGGACTTAAATATCTGACCTCCCAGCCTCTAAGCCAGGTATTTAGAGCCCCAGCTTCTGTTTCTGAGTTCCCCCTTCTTATTAGGATCCAGGAATCTAAATGTGACCCCCCTTCAAATGCTTCAGCCTACCTGCAGGTAGGGTTCGGAGGTAGACAATGGGACTCTGGGCTCCTTGGTGGGGGCTGTCCTCAGCAGTGGTCAGTGTGATGGCCCGCACAAACACTGCATACTGTGTCCAGGGTTTGAGGGGGGCTAATGTCACCCCTGGTTCTTGAGTGCGGCTTAAGGGCAGCTCAACATCTAGTAGGTTCCAGCTCTGTGTTCCACAGGCATCTGGACCAACATGCTCAGTGGCATTCTGGAATGGACTGAAGACCCCATGGCCAGAGCTGAGGAGTGGCTCAGCCCCATCGTTAGCATCTCCTGTCTCTCTGACCTTTTTAGACTGTTGTTGCCATTCGTCTTCTACTATCCATGAGGGGAAAACAGTAATTTCGGCTAATAGCAGATCCGGTAGGCCCTATGATATCTACTGCTGGCCAAATTTGTGATGAAAATCTCCTCTTCCTTAGTAGGAAATATTGAGTTTTAGACTTGGTGAACAGAAAAAGTATGTAGAAATAAAACTAGGAAGTGGCTGTGAAAGAGTCCCCTTTCTAGGGATAACAAGTTATAAGGCTATTCTAATCATCTCAAGTGTGATCTCATGGAGGAAGAACCAAGAGACCATTCTCTTCTCAAGGGTAATGTAGTGCTAACTTAGGCCCATCCATAGGTTTGGTAGGCCTATGAGCCTCTCAGACTATAGGCTTGGTTCTGTGCATGTGTGTTTTTCTGGAGAGGGGATTCCTAGCTTTCAACAAATCTCAAACAAGTCCCAATTACCCAAAGCCAGGACCCACTGCCTTGAGGATATGAACTGTGGCAACCTGTGCTGGCTGTGGGAACCAAGGTAAGAGCAGGCTTTAAGTGGTGGAGAGCTGGTTGCTGGGCAGGATGATAGTGGAGCCCACATCAAGGTGGACTGTGGGAAGACTATGAAGCATAACACAGATGATATCAGTTTCTTTGGAGGGAGGCAGAAGGGGTGGAATTCATCTTGAGCCAGGCACAGAACTTGAGGGATGTCATTGGGGCTGGTGATAGTGAACTTAAGGTCAGGCCAGATTTGTAGAACTTTGCTGGGACCCAGAAGCAGGATAATCCAGGAGCAGGGATGGGACAATACTGAATGGGTACTAATTGTTAAATCTTAGTAACCCTTAAAACAGGTTCTCAACATTTGGCATCTGAGAGATGAGGCAGGCTGAGAGCTTTTAGCAGGTCAAGTTTAGGGACCCTACTTAGGGCTAACCATCAGAAGCTATAGGGGAGTATGTATTTAACAAACTTGACAAGCTCCCTATGCTATACTTTTTCCTACCACTGAGTCCTGGGTGAGCCTAGGCTGAGTAGGCTCTACATCGTTGACTTCCTTCTTCCCTCCTCCCTGTTCTTGAGCTAGGGGTCACCTAAGACTTCTCAAGTTGAGCTCACAGGAAGTCCTCCCGATCTTCTGTCTACCGTTGACACTTCTGCCTTCCCAGCCTGTCATCCAAAATCCATTTCTCACCCATAAAAGAAAATCTCTTGGATTCCTAGCCATGCATGCATCTGGAGAAGTCCTTCTTGTGGTATAGTCACTATCCCTCTTGCTAGGGCCAGTTCCCTCTCTCCAAAGACTAGCAGCTGTTCCTTGTGATCCCTGCTCCGTCTCTTCCTTTGGCTTTAATGAAATGCTGGCAGAGCTGCTCATAAAACTGGCCAAATTAGTGGGCACTCCCCAAACCACCACTGGGCAGGAGCATGTGGTCAGTATAGAACATTAACATAGTGAATTGATTAAAGTGCAATTCATATGCAACATAAAAAAAAAAAACATAGTGAATTGAAGTTTTAATTAGCCAAGCCTTCCCAGAAGAATGCTCTCCTGGGCTTTTACAAGCTCTGACTGTCCTCTTCATTTCATTTGGTAAGGGGAAACTGAGGCATGAAGAAGCCAAAAAAAAAAAAGTGAAGGGAGCCAGACATAGGCCCTGAAACCCTGTGCTATTTAGGAGTCCTAGCTTCCTGGCTCTGCCTTTACCCTACCTGAGTCTTGAAGAATTTGGGTTCTTCCTTTTTTGGTTCTGAGCTGATGATAGTGCCCCTTGCCTGTCTCAGCCCTGCCCCTGCTACTCACGACTCCTTGTAGTACACGATGAAGCTGAGCAGGTCACGGGCCTCCAGTGGCTCATAGCGCTCCCAGCGCAGCAGGATGCGATCAGCCTCCGTCATGTTGAACACAAAGCGAAGGGTCCGAGTCTGGCCTGAATGGGACAAGTGGGTGAACAGCTGCTTCCACGTCACGTGCTTATGTTCCCACCTTGAGCCTGTAGCTTCCTGTGCCCAAATCCACTTCTGAAGAAGCTATCTTCTTCAAGTGTCCCCTCCCCTGGGTACATGGGTCTGGCATGTTTTGCTATGTGTGAATGTATCTGTGAGCACCCAGATGAGCCAGATGTGCTTGCTTGCTCTGAGGTTGGGGTTTTGAGCCTTACAGGCAGCGCGGTCTCCATTAGTGCGGGGGTTGATCTCAGCCTTGTTTTGCCGGCCTCGAGTCCCAGTCACCTCTTCCAGTCGGTAAATATGTTCCAAGCAGAGATGTGGATTGAAGGCGAAGTAGATCTTGCCCATAGGAATGGTGAGCCCCGAGGTCACCCAGGACCCCAGCTGTTGTAGGTTCTGGTTGTCCAGCACGTACAGGGTATAGTTCCTGGGGGAGGCCAGGGGGCTATGCTTTGCACAGTGGGGCTCCTCTTGGAGGGGCTGTGCTGGCCACTGTGCAGATCACTCACGTCCAGCACACAGGAGTGGGGGACTCAGATACCCTCTCCCTGTCTACTGATCAGGAGTATGATGTCCAATAAGTCACCCAACTTCTCTGGTGTCCCCATCAGTGAAATGGTGTCAACACCTCCTTCTTTCTATCATCTTGCTATAACTCTAACCTCCTGCTATGTGCCAATCTCTGTGCTGGCCTAGGGGACATAAGGAGGATGACACATTCTTGTCAACTAGGAGGACATAACAATGTGCAAGGAGACAGGAGAAGCCACACAGGAAACTACCTGACTGATGGCAATTTAAAACAGTCATTTTATTTTGAAAAATATACCTACATTATGGTAGGCCTTGACCGGTAGGGGGTAGGTAGGATGGGCGTCAAGCCCAGCCAGTCTCACTGGGCATCTGAGAGGATCAGGTAATAATTACAGCCAATCCTCATAGACTTGTACGTGACCTTGACTTTAATCGTATACACTAGTGTTCCAGGCATTGTTTTAAATGCATTACATGTAAGGACTTAAGTGCCATTCACAACAATCCTAAGAAGGAAGCAGAGTTAGCTTAGCCCTATTTTACAGATAAAAAAAAAGCTAAGGACCAAGAGGTTAGGTATTGTGTCCAGTCACACACCTAGTAGATGGTTCCAGAGCCCATTCTCAGGGGATGCTAGAGAAAAAGAGCTGGTCAGAAGCCTGATTCTTACCCATCCACCATAGTGTCTCCCCGGATTAGTTTGAGGTTCTTGAAAAAGCCCAGAGACACAAGAGCAAAGGAGTGCTTGATTTTGAGGAAGCCTGTGATGGTCTCTACTAGGCCAAGGCTATGTTGCAGCTCCAGTTCCAGGTTGTCTGAAGATGAGGAAGACAGGAATCATGATAGGTTCTCAGGGTAGGGGCCTGGGGTGGTGGGCAGGCGGGGAAGATGGAACTCAGGGATGGAATTTAGGGTGAGATGTAGTGGTAATTCAGCCCATCAGGCAAGGGATGGAGAGTGTGGCCAAGGAGAGGGTAGGGGCTCTGGAGTGGGTACTGACAGCCTTGGCGCAGGTTGAGGATGAGGCTCCCCTCCACGTGGGTGCAGCCCACCAGGTCCTGTGCTGCCTGGATGGAGTCGATGGTCTTGGTGCCCACCTTGCACTCTTTGGGGCATAGCCCCTCACACTTATGGCAGAATATGCTAGCAGAGGGCAAGCAGATAGCATGAGCTTTGGACTTGTGTGGGTGTCTTCAGTCCTCCCCTCTACCCCAAGGGTGTTTCCCCACCCTCTGCTCACCTGCTACCATTACGGGTGAATCCTGGGGGGCACTGGGCCAGGCAGCTACCCTGGTGGATGCCAAAAGTGGATGCACGGCTGGGCAAAGCGCGCAGGCTGGCACAGTGCTCTGCTGTAACACAGCGCCAGGACTCATACTGGTAGGTGCCTGGAGGGCAGGCCCCATGGCAAGAGCCCTGGAAGTAGAGGTGGCGGCAGGCTACGCAGGCACGAGGGTCGTCTGGCCGACTACAGCCTCCAAGACATTCGGTATGGCAGCACTCACCCCCCGTTGTGCAGGCCAGCCCCTGGGGGCAGGGACACACTGTGGGCAGAGGGCTGTGTTAGATTCTTTTTTTTGGGTCCAGTAGTGGGGCCTAAACTCTGGGACTGAGCGCTGTCCCTCAGCTCTTCAGCTCAAGGCTAGCGCTCTACCATTTGAGCCATAGCGCCACTTCCGGCTTTTTTTCTTTTCTGCTTATGTGGTGCTGGGGAATCAAACCCAGGGCCTCAGGCATGCAAGGCAAGCACTCTACCACTGAGCCACCTTCCCAGCCCCATGTGTTAAATTCGTATGTGTTCCCAGATCCTGGTCCCAGTGTCCCTCATGGGACACACAATGTGCAGCCAGATCTCACCCACTGAGATGTCAGTGGCTGCCCACTCTATTTACCTCTGAAAGGGGGCTCTTGAGGGCAAGGACTGTGACTCCTTTCTGTAGCTCCACCTCCCACAGTGCCTAGCTGGGGGTGTCTGACCAGTGACCTTGCCCATCAGGGTTGCTGCTTTCCAGCCTGCTGTCCTGTCTAGGCATAGTGCCAGGGTGAGTCAGCTGGCCTTCCCTGAGCATCTAGGCCCAGGGCAAAGTGGACCTGGGAGCAGGTAGAGGCAGGGCCATTCCTGGTCAGTTTACCTATGCCCCTGAAAAGTGCCTCCTTCAACTCCCTGGCCTGGCAGGAAGAAACCCCAGCAGCAGTGAGTGAGTATTGCCAGGGCAGCTGGATATCTGCAGAAGCTATGTGTGCAATAGGTGTCAGCCAGAGCCTGTTGACACTGTACACCAGAGGTCTGAGAGAACCTGCCACAGCTGTGTTTACAGCCAACAGGACAGTGCCAGGGAGGTGGGCCCCACAGATACAGTGGGGATCCAGTTACTCTCCTGCCTGGCATGAAAGCTGTTGAGGGTGACAGGAGCTGACTTCTGGGAGAGAGGCCTGTGGAAAAGATTCCTAGATCTGCTCCTACCTTCTGAAAGATTTTCCTGTCCTCCCTTGTTCCCCTTACTCCCTTCTGTTTCCACGTCTTCCTTCCTAAAGAAGCTTCTATGTCATATATCTGTTCCTCCTCACTTGTCCTTTTCTTTTTTTCTTTTCTTTTCTTTTTCTTTTTTTCTTTTTTCGGTTGGAGGCTTGAACTCTGGACCTGAGCACTGTTCCTCAGCTCTTCAGCTCAAGGCTAGCACTCTACCACTTGAGCCACAGCACCACTTCTGGTTTTCTGGTGGTTAAGAATCTCACAGACTTTGCTGCCCGGGCTGGCTTTGAACCGTGATCCTCAGATCTCAGCTTCCTGAATAGTTAGGTATGAGCCACAGGCGCTCAGCTGTCCAGTTCTTTTTTGACCTTGGTGCCCACCTCTGCGTTACCCTGGGTTTGCCTATGACGAAGTTGCTTTAAGTGAAAACACAGAAACCCTACCATGTTCCAGGTCACTTCCTATAATGACTCTGTGATCATTTACAGAATAGGAAAATGAGGCACAGATATGTCAAGTAAACAGTAAGCGGCAGAGCTGAGACTTGAACCCAGGCCATCTAAGTGGCTAAGTACTCACTGTCCCAAACTGTTTCTTCCATTTTCTTGTGTCCACTTGTGCCTACTGTCTTCCCATGCTCACTTTTACCTGACCTTTACCTATTCTATGATTAGCTGGTGCTGTCTTCTGGTTACTCCTTGGCTGCCATATACTATAATAATTATTTAACTTTTCTGAGCCCCAGTTTCTTTTTCTGTGAAATGGGAAAAACATCAGTACCTGCCTCATAGAATGAATGAAAATTTAAAAAATCAGTGACTAGGCCAGGTGCTTACACCCGTAATCCTAGTTACTCAGGAGGCTGAGATCTGAGGATCCTAGTTTAAAGCCAGCCCTGGGTAAGAAAGTCCATGAGACTCTTATCTCCATCTAACCACCAGAAAATCAGAAGTGGAGCTTTGACTCAAAATGGTAGAGAAAAAAAAAAACCACATGCACAAAAACAAAAACAACCTAGGAATAGTGCGCAGGCCCTGAGTTCAAGACCCATGACCAACAAAAACCAAACAAACAACCCACAAATTGTTACCCTATCATGAGGCCACTCAGCCTTACTTTGCCTGCCTCCTTCTGGCCCCCAGTTATGTTCTATACCAGCGCCCACCTCTCTGGCAGTGGCTGGAGGTCCAGCACCTGTAGTCAGTGTGCCCATTGAAGGTGGTCCTGACACAAGGCTCTCCAGCTGCACCCAGTACACCAGGGCACACATCAGCACACTCCTCATCCAGCTTGTTGCCCACAATGTGGTTGGCGCCTGGGGCAGGCTGCAGCAGACCCCAGTCAATGGTGGAGAGGTGGCAAAGCTCCTGGTTCTTCTCCACCCGCACAGCGCCACACAGCACAGCCCCCAGAGCCGGCAGTCCCACGTCTCGCAGGTGTGGCATTTCGTAGATGACCAGCGCGTAGCCCAGGAAGAGGCGTGCACCTCGGATCACTGCTAGGTTGGGGAAGAGGTCACGCAGGCTCTCCAAGCCATAGACACGGAAGAGCAGCAGGTAGTCAGTGACCTGAGTGAGGCGCGGGAAGCTGAGGCCTCGGAAGTCCTCCCCTGTGGCCGTGAACATGAGCAGGATCTGCAGGTGGCCCTCCACCACGCTGCAGCTCTCCAGCCGCTTCAGCTCTGCCACTTCTGAGCGGATGTCCAGGCTGGGGCACACTGTAGGTACAAGTGGCATGCATCAGTGAGTAAGTACAACCCAGGTCAAGTGCTGGCCCCATCGTGTCCTGTCAGCTTTGGGGAAGCAGAGGCACTTGGCATTAGGCCACTAATGTGGGGGATCAGCCTTTATTATAGACTAGGAGGTCCTGTGCAATTTGGACCCTGTAATCTGAGTTTTCGTGTGTGCCACATGTGTGGGGGTTGGACTCAGAGTTTGATACTTTGGCTTAGCTTTTTCACTCAAGGCTGGAGCTCTACCACTTGAGCTACACATCCACTTCTGGATTTTTTCTCTTTTGTCTGATAGAGGTAGATAAATAAAGATAGAGGTTGGCTTCAAACCAAGATCCTCGGATCTCAGCCTCCTGAGTAGCTAGTATTGCAGGTGTGAGCCACTGATGTCCAGCTACTGCTCTGATTTTTGTCCCTTTTCTTTCATTCTTCAGCCACTTTGACCTCTTCACTGGCCCTCAAACAAGCCAGCCTAATTCTTGGCTCGGGGTCATTTGTGCCTTCTTTTCCCTCTGGCTAGAAGTCTTTCCCCTTCCTCCACCCCCATCTCCTTAAGACACATTTCAGAGGCTTTCTCTTACCATTTTGTTTAAAGCTATGACATGACCTACTCCCCCACCTACTTAATTTTCCTCAGAACTCCTAATACTAGCTAGGATATAATTTGATTTTGTTTATTGTAAGTGTCATAGGGCAGCAGTCTTTGTAGAATGCTGTATGCTAGTGTCTGGTATAATGCCTGGCACACAGCAGTGAGCACTGAGATTCAGGCACACTACTTGGCCAAGGGAGCTAGCTGGCTGGTCTCTGCATTTGTTTACTCTCAGAGGGAAACTGTGGCGCCCCATTGCCAGAGGCTCACATTTCAGTCCCTCAGGTTTTTTTTTTTGGGGGGGGTAGTCCTCACTCATTTGTCCAGCCTCAGTAGGTACTGAGCTTTTGTGCAAACCTCTCCTCCCTAACCTTCTAGTACTGAATAACTTCCCCTTTGGGTGCAGTGCAAGTGAACTTAGTTCAGCAGCACTGGTTGCAAGAACACCTCTCTCTGGCTTTGTCCCCAGCACTGGTGTGTACATCTTCATCACCCCTTCCAAGGAGGGCAGAGCCCCTCTGAGTCAGCTTTTCATCCCTCATAGTGTCCAATGAAGAGCCAGACCTACTAGGTACTCAGGAACTGTGGGCCATGGACAGCTGGATCCTAAATCCACTCCCCTAAGGGACTCAGATGTGTCTAACTTCCTTAAGACCTAAGGTGCCCCAAGACTTTAGGATAACTTCCCTATGGGGGATGGATGCCTTGCTACATTTGCTCCTAAGGAGCCCTTGCAGGGTTCTCCTTAAGAAGATGCAAGTCTGAATCCTTCAGGATGACTTTCAGGTCTAACCTTTTCAGCTTTTGCTCTCTCCTTTCCCACCTGGCCCTCTAGCAACATCATACACACACAACACACAACACACACACACACACTGCACACTGCCACATTATACTATCCAGGTCCATTCCTCCCAGTGTTGGGAGGACATGGAGGAAGAAGGTAAGCCTGGCTCTCCTATTGTCCTGAATTGTCCTAAGCTAGACTCTACCCAGCAAGCTGTATATGTGTGTGTGTGTGTGTGTGTGTGTGTGTGTGTGTGTGTGTGTGTGTATCCAGGCAGGTACACAGACACATAAAAGAGAGGCAGAGAATGAGAAAACACTTCTATCCCCCCCACAAAGGCCAATCAGGCTCTGTGAGGCAGATGGGGGGTTCTCTCAGGCGCCCTCTTCCCATCATGCCTTGGCCTCTCTAGGGCTCCCCTGATGAGAGTCATTTGGAAAAACAAATCTAAGACCTTGCAAATTAACCCCTGCCTTCCCCTAGGACATAGCTATAGGCAGAGCTATACTGGGAACCAACATCTGGGTCCCTTGACCAAATACTAACCCTTTCCCCGCCAGGGACATGCTTCTATATCCTGGCAACTGTGCTCCTGGCTGGCATCTGCAGCAAGGGAAGGGGGTCCAGTGGGACTGGCACTCTGCTTTTGCAGGCAGAGCCCCTGCAACTGGCACCCTTCTGAAACCCCCCTACCCCAGCCCATGTGTATCACTCCTCTGACTCTGTAGGAAGGGGAGACTCTGCCCTGCCCCTGGAAGCCCCCGGTTTGAAGGACATTGTAAGACCCCTCAGGTAGGCACAGAGTGTTGGACTCCTGAGCTCCTTTAGTCTGGATGGGATGTAGAATCAGACAAGGGAATGTCTGAATCCTTCCCCTCTGACTTTCCGCTCTGTTCCTTTTCTTCTTCCCAAGCCCTCCCCCCTC